ATCTGGCTTTAAGAGCTTAACAATAAAAATGTTCTAGTGTTTTGTATGGACATACTGCTATGCAGTTAATAATCAACTATAAAATTATAATATAAATAAATATAGTTGTCTTACTATATTATAATATTCTGTATGATAGTGATAGATATAAAAATAACAAATCACGATTGTATGATAGAAGATAGGTAATGAATTATTTAGCAATCTAATACAATTGTACCAACTGCAACATATACCCATAATATTGTTCTATTTAAAGTGAACATTAAGAAAAAAAAATAATTAACACTATTACAAAAAATAGTAGTTTTAATTATAAAAGAACTATATATTTTAGTTTTGAAGTATTTTATCAGCTATTTTTATCTTTATTCTTTTTTTAGTACAGATACGAAATGACACTAATTGCCTCACTTATATAATTTAATTAATACGAATCATTAGCAATTATTTAGATTAAGTGTAAAACGGTGTTTTTTTTTTTTTTTTAATAATTATTGTAAATAGATCTATAGTTATAGTTTATAAACTATATATCAGCACAATAATGTTTTAAAATACATTTAATTTAAAATATTAATAATAGTAATATAATGATCATTTTCTAGTCGTTATGAATTTATTAAATAAATGTATTTAAAACAACACAATATTAGTAAACAATTCACACGAGAAAAATAATGATTTTTGATTAATAATACTTATTAATTATATTTATTAAAAGTGATTTATTTAATTACATTTTCTAACAAAAAAATGCTGAATCAAGATATTACAATACTGTTGTTATGAACATTACGACTGTGATGAAAATACGAACTTTGTTTTAATCTATCATTAATTAATAACTTCTGTTTCTACGAAATTCTCATGAACCGTATCATTGAACATAATTAATATACCATCGGATTAGCTGAAAAGACAGTCCAAGTCTTCAATTTCACGTATTCCGTCAGAAGCTTTACTAGTTTTTCCAAATAACGTTTGCTTTTTTAACACATTTCTATTGTTATGGACGGAATGCATTCGAAACACACTTACCTATTAGGTTTCAGATTACTCACACGAAGCCCCTTGAGAACCCGACACCTAGACCAACGTGACGGTTTTATCAAGTTTTTCACATCATTGCAATATATTTTTTTTTTTTTTTTCGATAAACACCAGTGAAGAAGTTCTCTTGACACAAGCGGAATCTATAGCATTCACAATGCTCAGTCGAGCACGATGCACACGCGTTATTGAGTTTATCTCTCCTGCCACTGGCTGCACGTGCCTTTCCATATTAAATAGTACCTATTGGAGAGTTTTCGAGTTTTCAAATAAGACTACAATCAGATAAAAATTATTATATATTAAATTTTGACATTACTTTTTTTTAGGAGTTCCTATATAACACGAGTATACAATAATGAGTACACGGGTGGTTCCATACTTTCTATTTCAGTGTTCTTACTCACTTTTTTTTTAAATATGTATATAGGGTTTGAATGGGTTGCCCATTGGGTGCCCCGAAACACAATTATAATACCGACATTTGGCAAAATATATTTATTCATCAAAATCTAGTCTGTAAACAAAAGATAGGTAACTATATGTGAGAAATGACTAGCAATTAAACAACACGTCAATAAAATAACAAAATCAACTAAATTGTGTATGGTGAGCTGCATTAAAAAACTTAAAAAGTGGCAAATATAAAGTTCGATTCCGTGGTTTCAAAATGTTGCGACATATCGCACTAGTACCTATTACATAATATATAGTTTATTCTATATTATAATTACTGATATTATAGATTTTTAAGTTAGCTCACCGATTTACATTCTCCGTATAGCCTTTAATGAAGTGTGATTGTGATACGATATAAATACACTGATGCATGAAATTCTATACCTGAAACATATATGTATATAATATAAATCAGGGCTTGCAAACGTTATAATAACGTTAAATTCGACAAAAAACGATTGATATTTATAAACGTTATTATAACGGAAAACGATAATAAAAAAAATTAAATACCGAAAAACAAAACATAAAGATTGACAAAATATATTATCCATCATTAAACAAAATATAACGCCAAACTTAATTTATAGAATATCATTGAATAAAAAATAACGCAAAACGTAATATTTTAAAATTTGTTTATTTAAAAGGTCTATAATTGGTTTCGTAGAAACATTTATTTCATGCAGACAATCTATAAGAATCTAATGGCCGATTTCACCAACACAGTTAATCACAGTTAAAGTTAACCGGAGCTTAATCGGCCGAATTTAATTTAAATTGATTTAATTAAATATCTGTTATCAGCCGATTAAGCGTAATCGAAGTTTGATCGTGATTAACTGTGTTGGTGAAATCAGCCCTAACAATTGATTATATTATATTCCGTATTCGGGCCATTACCTACCCTTATTAGCTTTTATTTTTAAATTTAATATGTACTAACACTATTTTAAATAACGATAAACGCAAAACTTGGACAACGTTTTAATTCTGAGTAACGATAAATGCAAAAGTTGAATAACGTTTTAATTCTAAATAACGATAAACTCAAAAATTGTATATTAATATTAATTGTAAATAACATAAAACGAAATTTTTTTTTCAAATGCAAGCCCTGATATAAATATAAACAGGTACCTAATCTACAAGAGTACGATTAATACATAAAAACACACACTGTATATTATGGGCATAGGTCCACACTTCGATCCCACAAACCCAGAAACATTTTCAAATATGAAAATAATTGTTGACGATTAAACATATTATACAATAATAGTCTATATATAAAATAACAATTACCATTGCTAGCAGACTATATAATATTATAATATATTTAAACTTGATTATTATATTAATATCTTATTTAGATACTCGCCACAATAAATTATATAATAATAATATGATGGGCACGTGTCCACGGACTGACGGTCGCGCTTCGTCATAAATCATAATAAAATAAGTTACAACACCAGTTGTAACGGTTAAAACCAAAATCACATCAGAAATCGATTTAGACACCTCCGTCGTGACTGTGCGTTATCTGTAATTATTAAGACTAGCTCAAATTTTGCTGCATTTGCCGGAGTTTATTTTCGATTCATTAAAGCATTGCCAGGTGTAAGCACTAATCAGTAAGCTATAAATTAATTTGAGACTGACTATGCATTAAAGTTTTTAGTGGTTCAAATCATATTTTTGCATATCCAGAGATTTTTTGATTTTAATGACACAGCTTATCAGATTTTAAATTTAAAATCGTATGTATAATGGATTTTGTATATATTTGATCCTTATAAGCATTTGACTGATGTAATATTATAATCTCGTTGACTCAATAATATTTTTACTACAAATATCGTGGTAGTTATTAAATATTATTTTATAACACCTACTATATTACCATACCGATTACCGAGTTATTGTTAACTTCATGTTGATGATTTGAAGTGTAGAAAACTATATAGTATAATATATATATATATATTTCATAAATGTATAATAATTCACGTGTAGGTATCAATAAATTTGAAAAAACTTATATCATAATAACTGTAAAATCTTGCCGGATCCAAGTGATTAAAATATAACCGACCGAAACTGTGTGTTTAGGTATAGTTGGTTTTCCAAGTCCAATATTACCAAATAGGTGCGGACGGTCATCGCCGCCGCGTCCGTCGTCGCCGTGACGGTGACGCTGCGTAAAGTTTCGCGGCGAAGGGTCTTCGGCGGCGGCAAAGACGAAAATCAAACGGAAAAAGAAAACGACGGGCCGCCGCCGGCGCGTCGGGTAACGCACACACAATCCGGCGGGAGGGCGCAGGCGGGCGGGCGCGCGCGCACTCGCACCGTCGGACCGGCGGGCGGGCCTGCCGATAGGCGGGCGGCGGCCGCGGCGGCGATGTGCGCGCTTGTGTGTGTACTCGTGTGCGCGTGTACGCGTGTTTGTGTTTGTGTGTGTGCGTACGTGTGTGCGCGCACGTGTGCATGTGTGTGTGTGCGAGTGTGTGTGTGTGGCGCGCTCGGTGTGCCGGGTCCGCGGCGCGACCGTTGGTTCTGATCAGTCTGCGTTCGGCCGTCGTTCATACGCAGCTCTCCCGCTCACGTCGACGATCCTGCTCGATCGCTCCCCCGATCCGGGTCCGAGCCGCGGAAAAACTCCGTTTGACGCCACCGAGTCGAAATCCGTTCGCGAATTTTTTTGAAAAAAAATTTTTTTTTTACACTCTCGTCGCATACGATTTCATTATACATGTAGTTTTCGAAAAAAAATTTCGTCTACCTCCAAACCCGCCCGAGCGGCCAAAAGCGATCGCGCGATCTCGCGAAGTCCGGCGGGTCACTATGATCGGGCCGTCGCCGTCGCCGACGTTGTCGCTTGACCGGCCGGCGAAACGGTGCGCACCGATCGTCCGAACCAAACGGTAAACCGGCACCGACGATAATATTATAATATTATTGTTATTGTAACACTGCCGCGAAAATCACCGTCGCGATCCGCACCTGACAATCGTATTATATCATATTATAATATTTCGCTCGTACGATATATATAGTAATTTTTTTTTTTCGATTTATAATTCGTTCGCTCGATCCGTGTATTTATCGCGTGTTAAACGTTCGTCTAAGAATTTTTTCCGCGTCCGTTTTCCTATATAATATATAGAGATCGTCGGAAATATTAATAACAATATATTATAATCTCGTATCCGCGGTACACCCGGCAAGAACGCGATAATAATATCGTCTATCATATTATACCACTGTGTACCGGCAATCTCATACCGCACATCGGAGGCGAACCGCAGTGATCGCCGACCGCGAAGAGCTCGCGGGCACGAGGAAAGGTCGGTAGGAGCCCACCGCCGTTGGCACGGACGGAGGGAAAACCGGCCAAAGGTCGACGGCAGGTCTATCCGTGCAGACATGGTGTGTGGCCGACGACGACGACGCCGCCGCTACGCACCTGAATCCTCACCTGCTGCATGAGTCGCGTTCAACCACTTACGTGAGTATAAGTACATCTATTATTGTCATCGATTTATTATAAGTAACCCACCTAAGTACATATTATTATAATATAAAATGTACGCGTACTTATCTGAACAGTAGGTATGCGAATTTCGTCCGTCTGTCGAATCTCTTGACCGTTTCGGTTTTCCAGTTTTTCACACCTATATGGTTTTCCCGCCATGCCAGTCATCCCGTATACCTGGCACACAAAACGCGTACCTATCGCACAGGCAATAATATTTATTTTTTTTGGTTATTATTATTGTTACTATTATTATTATTATTATTACTATTATTATTATAGTCATTATTATTATTTTTATAACGATCGCCGTGCGTGTGGTCAGTCGATTTAATGCGAGCGATCGATCATCCGCGAATTCGCATTATAATAACACATATTCCTGTAGGTACCTATACATAATAACGGTTTCTATTTCTATTTATTATTATTATTATTGTTGTTATTGTTTGTATTTGTGTACATATTTTTTAATTTAAAAATCTTTGGATAAAAACGTGTGAAAACGACCCGGCGTTGCCTTATTCGGATGAATAAATAATTCGGCGACAGCTCAAAACGCGTGTACAAATCGCCCGCAGTAGGCGTTTTTTTTTATCTGATTTACATATAATAAATAAAATAAAATGTGTAAATCTAAGTTAGAATCCCATTCACACACGCATTTTTTCACACTAGTTTGTCCACTGGAATATTTTTTATCTAGTCACGATGATTAAATCTAACAATATATTAAACTCGTGCGTTATTCAACCGAGGCGCCGCCAGAAGTGTATTCAAATTGTTTTTCAAGTGATATGTATACAATAATATATATATACAATTAAATTATCCGATCAACCAAGTAATAATGTATGGCTCATTGTTTGAATACAAACAAATGTTTATTCGTATAGAGCTACCTACATAACTAATTTTTTTCACGCAATAGAATGGGAAAATATATAAACGTAAAATAAAAAATATAATAACTACCTACCCATATTGTTATATTTTATAAAATTCCTAGAGTGTCGTACACTTTTCCAATATCGTAACGATAATTATCCGGGGATATATAAGGGATGTGCCTGAAGTAAGTAATAAAGTGATGAGATAAAAATTAATCGACGGCGTGACGTTAATCTTAAAGGAAATTACGATGTTTTATAATTTTTCAATTTTCGTTTGAAACGACGCGTCATGTAAACCTGCCGAGGTCGATTGTCGGTCAATTTATTGGTATTCGAAGAGGGTGGGTGTGTACGAGCGCTGACCGGTGATTAAAAACCGTCTAGGGGGCTGGTTTGTAATTAAAACACAAGTTAAAGATAATACAAAATTGTTATGCGTTAATTAAGGCGCCAACCATCCAAGTGAACGAGAAAAAACACTTACCTATGATTAACGGTCTAGAAAATGTTGTTATTATAATTATTATTCTCATTTTTTTTATTATTCAGTAAAACGCCTAAAAACTAATTAATTTTATCAGCAGGTTGTGATGTTTTTTTGAAATTTGAAAAACGTGTATAAATTAATCGCGAGTAATCAATTTCCGCAAACGAAAATTAATTTAATTTCGACAGCAGATAAAACTGTTTTCAGCGACCGTTGTACCGTTTGATTGTTCAACTCCGAGCACTGGCATGCTATAACTATGATAATGAATATAATATTTACACGAAAGTATACATTTTAAATGTATAGACATAATATAACTTATACCGATATTCGTTTGAATTATTTCTTTCAAAATTCAATGATTCATAAAGTTAAGTTTTTCCCGAAATAAATGACTGGGTATATTATAAGTGTTTAATAAACTATTATACTCTTACCATCAGCCAAGATTCAGTAACCACTAATTTTCCGTTGGATACAATTTTTCTAACATAATTTAATCAAAAATAGAGAAATATTATACCCAGAAAAGTCTATAGAGAATATTAAAAATAAAAACTATGTTATTGTATTATCATTTATACATACACGATACATTTTATTTTGTAAACGAGTAATTGTGTATACATAGTAAAATATTGACGTAACGTAAAAACAATAAATTTTCATGACATTATCGTTATGCACTTATGTACCTATATATATTTTTTTTTAAATAATCGACAGTTTACTATTGTGAATACTTTAGTAACGAGTTACAATTAATGATTTGGTGCACGATAGACCTCTATGTATATATTATTGTGTAGGTATAGTTAGTAGTACGGATGTCCCTTATATTATAATATAGTATAGTGGTTGAAAAATTTAAATATCTAATAATATGAAACTTTTGAAACTCTTGAATTACGAACTATTGTTTAATTCACTTTCACCGCAATTACCACACACGTACACACATACGCGACGCACGCTCGTTTTTTTCTGTTTATCAACACTCCCTATATACATTATTATTTATTATGTTATGTTTTGTGGGTCATAGTCAACGATTTTCCCACCTGAATGACAAAAATAATAACAATAATAGTAATAGTTATAATAATAATGATAGTAATAATAATAGTAAGTAAATATAGCCATCTTGAAAATACATTCTAGTTTTGTTGAACTCTGTAATTTAGCCTGTACGCGGTGCCCCAATCTCGCGCCCGTACGGATCAACTGACCAAAAGAGTTCAACTGACCGTATAGCTGTATAATAGTAGGATGAATATTGTATAGTAATCTCTTCGTCGTCGAGATGGGGAATACGAGCACGGGCGTCCTCTAAGTGGCCACGTTTACGACAATATATTAATGAATTCCTTTTGAAAATCCATCACATCGCTATAGGCCGATAAGTATACCTACATCGCATATATGTATAGGTATTATAATATTATTATGAGAACATTCCAAACTTCTTCCCCTCTTGGTCTTTCAGGCGGCTGCGAGCAGCACGTGGTGTAGCAAGCTAGGCCAATGGAATGGGAGGGGGGAGGAGAACCTAGTGATTATTAAGTAAACTGTAGGCAATTAACCGGGGTTTGTCGTTTTATGTGTGTGCGAGTGTGAGTGTGTGTTTACATACGGAATATCTAACAGGAGAACACACACACACACACACACACACATATATATCCGTTATTAATAGAACGTACCTGGTATACTGTGTTCCTATAGGAGGTGCGTGTCTTTCGTTTTTCACTTAGGACGCAATCCAGTATTGAGTATATAATATAATATAATATATAATGTGGGGACCCGGAGATAAGGCTCCGGATGCTCCATTACCCGCTTCTTCTTGTTTACACGAGTCTCGTTGTGCTTATAATAATCATTATATTATTGTCTTGTCACATGTACCGTCGTAGCTGGAAACCTTGAACCGGGGAAAAAAGAAATGTTATATAATATAAAGGTGGTAACACGTGGAAATTAGGATTTCTAGTTTCTTCGTAACGCGTAAAGTGTAAGACCATTAAATAGAGAGCCACAAATAAAAAATATCTAGAGCTAAACTATAACTTATACGTCGATAAGTTGTCAAGCGTATAGTTTAGCTCTAGATCTGTGGCTCTCAGACATCTAATGATATTGTATCCCATCACTGCAGATAGGCATCGTAAAAATCAAAATAAGAATTTTTGAAAGTTCAGTAAACAACGGACAAAATTCAAATATTATTACGGTGAATATGGACAGTATTTTTAGACGAACAATTATTATAATGCATAAACATTATTATTAACTGTATATTATTATGTATGAATTAATATTTTATTTTTAGTTATAAGTAAGTATATTTGATAAAAAATAGGTTTATACGAAAAATGTACTTGCGTAAAACTAATAGATAATTATTATTTATTATTATTTATATAAGTTGGCTAAATAAACATGTATAATGTTTAGATTATGGAAGCTATTTTAGTTTACTTCAGATCATATTAATATTAAAATTAGCTAAGTACATGGTAAATTATTAATTTAAAACGCTATATATTATTATTTTCAATTTTATTTCCAAATAACCCTAAGCAACTTAGTCAGAGAATTTTCCCAGAAAACTCTGAATATAGCTCGAAAATCGCAAAACGTATGTTAATTTAATGCGTAAGCAAACCGTTTATTACCACTAATGGAAACAAATAATAATAATAATATATGGGTAGGTACTTGGTAAGTGAGAACTACGTATTAGTTGAACACTGGTTGTTATTGGACATATTTTGTCATTTGGTCGTAAAATTAAAAAAAAAAAAAAATACAGCAAAATGTTCATTACGCAGTCATTGAGCAATATATATATTGGAAGCGCAACATTATTATTATATTTGCCAACCTCCGGAATGTCGGTCGAATGAAATAATACGACGATGAATAGTTTATTTTTTATTTAATCATCGAATAACCATAAGTTATGTATAACAACCATATTATTATACCGTATCAACTTTTACGTTTTCTATCAAAATGAGCCAATCGTGTGATTAAGTACGAAAATCGTAATCTCCGCTTACTTATGGTAATTTAATTTTCATTTATTGTCGGCTTCTCAGTAACACCGTGTCAATCTAGAATGCTCGTCAGATCCATCAGATGATATTATCTTTTGGACGTTGATGTGATCAGTCACTGTAGAGTAAGGTAGTTCAAAGGTTGGATCACACAATTGAACACTTGCCCTCGCGGGTCAACCTCACCGGTTGCTGTTAACAATAATAGTCAGTCAACTTGTTTCATCGGAGACACTAATGCGATCAGGCCCGTTCTCATTGTCATGAAAGTGCCTCGCGGTCAATATGAGAGTCATCAATTAACCGAAAACTATATACGGACAGACATCACTATATTCTCTCTTATTCTATCACACCTTCTCTCACTCAATATCTCTCTCTCTCTCTCTCTCTCTCTCTCTTTTAAACATTATAATATTATAACTGCAACTCGTTGATAGATACTCGGATATAGGCTGGTTGCTAGGATTTTCGCAGTTCAATCTTCGTGTTAATAATAATATCATACATGAAATATACCCATATTAC